AGCCCAAAGGAACCGCAAAGGGGAGAAAGCGAGTCCTCAGGTCAACTCAGGGACCACACCAGCCCCCTAGAAGACATGTGCTGGGTGTCCTCACCATGGCCACCCCTCAGCCTCAGCCAACACGGCCGGCAGGAGGTCTCTGACCCTGACAGTTCATCTGCTGGCTGCTAGGACAGACCACAGCCCCGGGAAGATATCAGGGTCGATCAGAGTCTCTCCCGTGAAACCCAGAGGATGAGGCACTAGGGAGAGGATGCTCAGAGCAAGCACAGAGGGACCACAGAGTGCAGAGGGAAGCACAGGCTGCCGTGGTGGAAAAGTAGAAACCCAGAGCATGGAGGAGAGATGTGCCTGGCAGGGAGGGAGGACTACATGTCAGCAGCTGGCAGAACCGGTCGACTTGCTCCACCGGCACAAGAGTGAAGGATGCCACCTTGCTGCTGAGGTCTCTGGCCCTGTCTTGGATCCTGGAGTCACAGGCTGGGCCCCAAGATGTCCACTGGGAGCCCACAAGGTCCCTTCCATCCCCTTGTCTCTGCTCTCATCCAGCTCCCTCCACCTGCCCTGCTCTCTCTGCCTGTGCACACGCTCTGCCCCCTGCCCGACTAGGCCAGGGGAGAGCCTAGAGCTCGTGGACCCTCTTTAACAAAAGGAACACAACAGCACGATGCTGTTGCCTCTCCTGATGCCTCTCCTTCAGGTCTCAATGCCAACATCACTTCCTTGCCAACATCTACCTGCCTCTCTCGCCCTCTCCAACCAGGCCACGTCCTTCTGCACTAATTCTGCACTGTCCATACAATAGCCACTTGCTACATGTGGCTATTTAACTTTGAATGAATTACAATGACACCAAACCAGACATTCTGTTCTTCAGTGGCACTGGCCACATCTCACGTGCTCGATAGCTGTTGTGTTGGATGGTGCAAACACACAGCGGTTCCACCATCACTGAAGAGTCTACTGGACAGCTCTGGTACACTTGTCATGGCACCAAACTAGCAAGCACTCACCCCTCTCACCCCAAGACTGGAGCTCCACGAGAGCAGGATTGCATGTCTGTTGGCCTCGTCACTGTCACCAGTGCCTGGCACACCCAAGCCCTTGATAAACATTCAATAAGCAAATGACTGAATGTGCAATTCTTAACTGCTCTGCACGTCTGTCAACCACCCTCCACCCCCGACTTCAGTGAGCCTCTGATCCCCGCATTAAAATGCAGGGAAAAGTTTCTCTTTTCCAGGCTGTGCAGAAGGAGCTGGCAGGGAGGAAGAGCTTGAAAGTAGAGGAGAAACACTTGCCCTGGAACAAGAATACACACTCCTGAGTGTATGGAGATAGACTCGTATCACTCTACAGAAAATGGCTCCAGTATACATCAAATGCGCCGAAATGTTGACAGAGCTTATCTCCAGATGGGTGAGGCTTGGGATGATTCTAATGATCTTCTTGTGGCTCCTGTTTTTCCTAAGTGTCCCCTGTGTACAGTATTAAATGGATAATCAGCGAGGTATGATCTACATCCTGAAATGAGAGGGACAGGATTCCAAAGCCACCACTCGAGGGTGGATGGGGCCAAGTTGAGGCGCCCTCTTCAGTCCTGAGAGCCTCCCCCCATCTCCCCAGCAGCATGAGGCTGGCCGAGCCGCCAGGGACCAGAGCCCTTTCTGTTCTAGCCCGCAGCTTGCCACATGGGAGGCGCTGAGAACACCTTGGATGAAGGATGAGGCAAAGTATAAAAAGAGGATGGAGAAAAGGCCACTGTCTCAGGGTTTAGGAAGCCACTGACGATTTGAGAAAGGTTTTGGTGACGTGAGAAGGAATAGAACCACAGACAACAAGGGGTTTGAGATGGTTCCGAGGAAGGCGGGTGCTGTGGTTTGAATGTGTTGCCTTCAAAAACCGGGCGCTGCCAATGTGGTAGTATTAAGGAGCGGGGTTAAGAGGTGATTCCACCACGAGGGCCCCTCCCTTGTGAATGGGATTAAGGCCACATAAGAGGCGTCTCACACAGCGCATTGGGCTGCTTGCCCTCCTCTGTGTGAGGACATGGCATTCCCCCTTCTGGCGGGGGCAGCAATAAGGTGACATCTTGGAAGCAGAGAGGCAGCCTTTACCAGGCACTGAACCTGCTGGCACCTTGATCTCTGTCACTGTCATCAGGTTTTTAAGGGGCAATTCCTTTCTAAAATATGCCTTCCCTATTGACATGCTATTGCCACATCTTCCCTCCTCCTCAGGGACATTTTGCCTATTCCTGTAGTCATTGTTCCTTTGTCTGTCACATCCTGTCAGGCCCTGCTTCCATCCCCATCCGTGAATAGAGAGCTGTCCTTGCAAAGAGCCCCATGGGCTCCAACAAGTGCCTTCACTGCAACCTTTGCCTCCCCCAGGCAGCCCTCACGGCCTGCAGCTGGACCTTCCTGTCACAAGCTCCTCACTGAATCCTCACCCAAAAGAAGAATCAGGATCTTTGCCAATTTGGGTTTAGGGGAAATCAAAATAGCAGGGTTCCAGAATCCATCTTATCATCAGATACCCTCCAGATATCCTATAGGGGACATCCCATAGTCCCGCCCTCCTCTAAATCACCTTCATAGATTGTATGAGGAATGAGCTTTATCAAAGCTGGCACAGAACCATAGAACTTACCTGCCCTCTGTCGTGATGAAATCTATGCAGCAGCTGTCCTTTACCACACTGGACGCTCCTCGAGGGTAGGGACACCTTGCTCTCCTCATGCCAAGCATATCAGATGCTCAATGAATGTGTTGAAATAAATTTTTTTGAAAAAAATTTAAATATAGCATTTCACCAAAATAAAAATTTCTCAAAAAGGAAGATGTATCATAACTTTTATATAGCTTATGTGACTGTTTATGTCCTATATGGTAACACTACAGCATAGCTATTTGAACTCAAAATTCCTGATGGTTTCTTTCAGGACCTCAGGGTCCTGGTGACCCCCACTGAGACAGCCGGTAGCCAGTCTGCTAAACACTGGGTGTGAGCCCTGAATACTCGGAGCCCATCCCATCACATTGGTATTTCTTCCATCCCAACACACTTACAATCCTTTTGAATCATCATTTCACCATCTCAAAAAAAAAAAAAAAGCTTGTCAACTTCCAGATGATCTTAGCCTGTAAATGTCTGCTGACTGTATCAGTGCTGCTGATGAGATCAAAAGGAAGCTCTGCAAGTGCCTTCTCCCCAACATTCCAATAAACATTACTGCTCAAATACGAGCTCCTGCACCCAAGCTAGGCAGGGAGGGACATTACCCACCTTACAAGTTCAAAGACTTAACGAGCCTTTTAGCATCTGGGGAGGCGGCTGTAACTGGAGCAGTGTTTCTCTAAGTGCGTTGCTTGCAGAGAGGCATCACCTGGGAACCTCCTGGAAATGCAAATTCTCCAAACCCACCCTTCCAGCTGGGGCAGGGCCAGGCCATCTGCATGTGGGCAAGTCTCCCGGGTGACTGGCAGGCATGCTCAAGTTTGGGAACCACTGAACTAGACTTAGTGAGTTCACAAATAGCAACTGCTTACGTCTATCCCAGCAACAGGGTGGGAAGGTGCTCCCCGTTTCCCCAGACGGTAGACAGAGAACAGAGAAGGCCTCCCTTCAGCTTCACCCAAGGGGGTCCTCTGGCAACTGGTCAAGGGCTGGCACTGACTCTGCACAGATGGTACAGGCAGACAGATGTCATTCCCAACAAACTCACATGGGCTATGAGCACCCTATTTCTCCTGTATAAAGATTCATGTAATTTCCTTTTATTCTCCAATATTTATGAAATCCTGAGTCCTGGGTTGCAGCCTCCCTTAGCAAATTTCATGAATGTTTGAGCTCCTCACAAGGCAACCTGAGGCATAATCATAATTCAGATGAACCAGAACATCCCTGAGAATGCGCTGCGCAGAGAGAATGAGCTTTGGGCTCAGAGCTGCACGTGGAGACCACAGTACAGGTGTCAGTGAGGGCTGAGAGGGGCCAGGGAGGTAGAGCCCAAGGTGGGGATGGCATCTGCATTTAAAAACCTTTGTTTTGACCGGGCACTGTGGCTCATGCCTATAATCCTAGCACTCTGGGAGGCTGAGGCAGGAGGATCGTTCAAGGTCAGGAGTTTGAAACCAGCTTGAGCAAGAGCGAGACCCCGTCGCTACTAAAAAAAAAAAAATAGAAAGAAATTAATTGGCCAACTAAAAATATATAGAAAAAATTAGCCAGGCATGGTGGCTCATGCCTGTAGTCCCAGCTACTTGGGAGGCTGAGGCAGGAGGATCGCTTGAGCCCAGGAGTTTGAGGTTGCTGTGAGCTAGGCTGATGCCATGGCACTCTAGCCCGGGCAACAGAGTGAGACTCTGTCTCAAAAAACAAGATAAAATAAAAAAACTTTGTTTTCACTGCTCACATTTGGGGAAATTAGGCTTTTGGAGCCAAAAAAACTACAGTTTTCTCTCAAGTGTCTCCCCACAGGGCTAGGGAGATCTCAGGATAGCAGCCGACTGCCCATGGCAAGGTCCTGGCACCAGTTCCATAACTCGGGGTCAGCCAAGTTTAAAAGAAAGCTGGCAGAAGGGGGAAAGAAATGTAAGTGTGGAGGAAAGTAGGGAGAAGAGCCAATGAGATAGAAAGGAGAGGGATGAGTGTGGATTTGCTCACTCTCCCTGTCCTCTGAGCACTGCACTCCATCGGCCATTTCTAACCCTCTCTTTACTGGCCCGGCAAGGTCAGAGCAGTAGTGACAATCTCAGTCTCCACTGGAGTCGGTGGCTAATTCAAATCAGGCAAAGAGTCAGACTGTTGAGAAGAAAATCATAGAAACAAAATGTTTATTATTTTCCATGAAAAAAAAAGGGGGAGAAAGAAGGGGAAAAAAAGGAAAGCATGCTCAAGAAAGAAATGTTCGTAAGTATATGCTATGCTTTTTGTTGTGTCTTCTCTAAATAACAAACCCCCTTTGGCAAAAGAGAACAATTCATGCAAACTAGAACTGCCTTTTGAGAGCAAAGTTTAATTCTGACCCAAAATTATGATGATAATAATTTTTTAACATACAATCAATTCCACCACACTGGGCAAGAATTACTCAGACTACTTTTTTCACCATTAACTTCTGAAAAATCAAAGTGGCTGACCATACTTGTCTATCTGAGGAAGTAAAATGCATTTCTTTATCACTAACTACCACAGAAAAGCACACTTAGCTTGCATTTCAAGTTGTCTTCCGTGAAGTCTATTTTGATTGCAATAGTTGTGTTATCCTGATTTCTCTTCCCTACGTTCTGATCTCCACAACAGAGATGGGTTGTGAAATGCCATCACTTAAGTCTTGCTTTTGCCTTTTTTCCCTTTGGGAGCACCTGGCCACCGGAAGCCTCGCAGGTACAGGCAGTCAGCGGCGTTGTGGGCAATGTAGTAGAGGTTCAGCATGGCGGCTGGGCTGAGGATGTCTACATCTGGTTTCTTCTGCTTCTTCCCATGAGACTTGCCTCGGCCTCCTCTTCCTTTCTTCCCTTTTTTTGGCTTTCAAAGACAAGTATAAATACGGGGTGGGAGGGGGGATTAGTTTTTATAACCATGACAAGATTTTCAACATTTCTGTATTAAACTTAAGGAGAAAAAAATCCTACAAGGAAACCAATCAAAACAGCAACAACAAAAAACATGTTTGTATGGAATGGGAGAGGCTGCTTAAAATCTAATTTGAAGGATGTTTATTAAACACCCCATATTAAAAGAGACCCAACCTAATGCAATATGTGAACCTTGTTTGCAGTCTGATTTAAACGAGGGCTGCAAAAAGACATTTTTATGACAATCAGGAAAACAGGATAATATCAAGGAATTATTAACTCTGTTAGGTTGGATAATGGCATTGGTTCATAGAAGAAAATGTTCATGTTTCAGAGCAGCACACTGAAATCTATAGGGATGAAATGAAAGAAAGCCTGAAATGTGCTTTAAAACACTGCAGTGTCCCCCACTATATCCCCCAAAAGGACAGATAAAGCAAATGTGGCAAAATCCTGGTAATTTCTGAATCTGAGAAATGGACATATGGAGACTCATTTTATAATTGTATTTTTGTATGTGTTTAAAAATTCTCATAATAGTCCGGGCACAATGGCTCATGCCTGTAATCCTAGTACTCTGGGAGGCCGAGGATTGGGAGGATCATTTGAGCCCAAGAGTTCAAGACTAGCCTGAATAAGAGCGAGACCCCGTCTCTACTAAAAATAGAAAGAAATTAATTGGCCAACTAAAAATATATAGAAAAAATTATCTAGGCATGGTGGTGCATGCCTGTAGTCCCAGCTACTTGGGAGGCTGAGGTAGAAGGATTGCTTGAGCTCAGGAGTTCGAGGTTGCTGTGAGCTAGGCTGTTGCCACGACACTCTAGCCCAGGCAACAGAATGAGACTCTGTCTCAGAAAAAAAATTTTTTTCATAAGTAAGTTAAAAACAAACTACATAATCAGGACACAAATATATATTTTGGCACTTGCTTTGCAAGTAGTCTCTGCCTTATTAAACAGGCACTCAGTGAACGTTACTTATTCCCACTCATTCTCAGAGCTGTATTTCAAGGTAGGTAGGTGTTATTCCTATCTCAGCAAGGTTGCTCAGGACATGCAAACCAACATCCACCAGGCTCAGTGCCTGTGTTCTTTCCTGGAATACCCCACGAAGTCAGTGTCCTCTGGGAAAAATGAATGGATACTATCCTAATCTAGAAATAAACTATTTGCAAAGTTTTGCTATAGCTGCTCGAAACTGAGTTGAACTCCTTTATATCCTCTGACCCACACATACAAAAATAACAGATGGAAGTGTTTTATTAAAAAGTGTCTCTTCTAGGCAAGAGAAAGAAGAGGAACGTATAAATTATCAAGGATACCTGTAAGGGCTAAATATTTGTATAAAATAGATGTCCTGGTCATAGCATTTCAGTTTTAAAATGTCCCAAGCTAAACAAAGAAAAACATAGTTAATGTGCTAAAAACACTAAAATACATTTTTTGCTAGGCGAAATGGAATGACATTCCTAAATACAAAACCCAGGAATGAAGATGAGAAGTATCTTGCAACACAGTCCTGACTTCTCTGAGAAAACCCAAAGGAAGAGAAATAATACAAAGCCCAACATGACTGCACTCTGCTGATAAAGCAGCCCACAGGGTGTGGGATGCACATTTTGCCAGAATTCTTAAAGATTTGGGGTCTTGGCTTTCTTTATGACTTTATACATTTTTACATGTCAACCACACTTAATATGTGTGTGTTTTAATCTTTAAAATGGTTTGAGAACTAAAATTCACATAGAAGTTTGACATTTTTATTCAAAGTTCTCACTGTTTTGTAGAAATTGGCAAATTGATTCTAAAATTCACAAGGAAATGAAAAAGACTTGACAGAATGGTTTGACATTTTTATCCAAAGTTCTCATCTTTTTGTAGAAGATTCTAAAATTCATATGGAAAAGCAAAGGACTTAGAAAAAGAACAAAATTGGAGGACTAATATTATTTTATTTCAAGAATTTTTATAAAGCTACAGTATCAAGTTGGCATGGCAGTTGTATCAAGACAGACAAATAGATCAATGGAACAGAATACAGAGTCCAAAAATAGACCCAGACATATATGAAAAACTAATTTTCAACAAAGGTGTCAGTGAAATTCAGTGGAGCAAGGATAATCTTTCCAATATATGGTATTGGAATAATGAATATCCACTTGCAAAAAAAAATGAACCTCAATCCACAGTTGTAGTATATATAAAAATTAACTCAAAATGTATCATAGACCTAAACATAAAATGAAAAACTATAACACTTCTAGAATATAGGAGAAGACCTTTGTTGCCTTGGGTTTGGCAAAGATTTCTTAGATATGACACTAAAAGCACAATCTATGAAAAACAAGTTGATATACTCACCATCAAAATTTAAAACTTCTGATCTTTAAAAGATACAGTTAAAAGAATGAAAAGCCAAGCCACAGACTGGGAGAAATTATTTGCAAATCATCTATCTGAAAAAGGCCTATATTGAGAATATAGAACTCTCAAAACACTATAATAAGAAAACCACCCAATAAAAAAAATGGTCAAAGGATTTGAATAGACACTTCCCCAAAGAAGATATACAGATGGAAAATAAGCACATGAAAAGATACTCAATATCATTAAGCCATTAAAGAAATGCAATTAAAGCTATGAGATACCACTATAGACTGATTAGAACAGCTCAAGTTAAGAAGACTGACTATACCAAGTGTTGAAGATGTGGAGAAACAGTAACTCTTATACACAGCTAGTGGAAATCTAAAATGATACTACCACTTTGGAAAAACAGTTTGCAGCCTCTTTAAAACGTTAAGCATACTCCTACCATATGGCCATCCCACTCCTAAGGTATTTACCCAAGAGAAATGAAAGCATATGTCCATTCAAAGACTGGTACAGGAATGTTCATAGTAGCTTTATTTGTAATAGCTAAAAACTGGAAACAACCCAAAAGAATGGATAAACTGTGGTATAACCATATAATGAAACACTACTCAGCAATAAACTATTGATATATGCTACAACATGGATGAATTTCAAAAAATTATGTAAGTAAAAGAAGGCAGACTAAAAAAGAAAGAAAAAAAAACACATACTGTATAATGCCATATATATAAAATCCTAGAAATTACAAACTAATCTATAGAGACAGACAGCAGATCAGTCGGTGGTTGCCTGGGAGGGAGTGGGGTGCAAGATGGGGAAGAGAGCAAGGTCAATTACAAAGGAGCACAAGGAAACTTTTGGGGTGATGGAAACATTGTGGCATGTTGGACATGTTTATTATTTTGATTGTGGTGATGGCTTCATGAGTGTACACATAGGCCAAAGTTATCAAAGTACGCATTTTAAGTGTGTAATTTATTGTATTAATATATCCACTATACCTCAATGAATCTGTTAAGAAATTATTACAAGAGAGTAAACATTTTAATTTCTGGGCCCATCCACTCCTTGAGTTGGTTCAATATGACTCTGTGGCTCTTGGCTGTTCCTGGTCTCAGAACACACAGCTCCTAACTTAAAACCCTCCAAACTCCTTAAGGAAGACCACTCAGCCCCAGCCACACAGGACTTTCTTCTGGTTCTCAACTCTCTAAGCTCTTTCCTGCACAGGCCTTGCTCTTCCTGCAATCCATGAAAAACATGTTAATAAACTCACCATCAAAATTTAAATCTTTTGCCTAAAAGATTCAAAAGATCTGAAATAACACTACACTGAAGGGGCATAATTTGTTTCTTCTCTTTATGCTGGCCTCTGCTAAAATATCACGTCCCTGCCTATAACTAGGGTGACCATATAATTTATTGCCCAAACCAAGACAATTCAACAAACATAAAGGAACATAAACTGGGACTGTCTCAAGCAAGGGGAGGTACAGAAGGTCTCCCTCCCAACAACCCCTGGCAGTGTCACTTTCTATCTCCTCACCATCAGCACTTTTTACTATTTAATAGTAATTGTTTATGTGTTTACTGTTAGTTTCTCTAACCAGAGCCTTTAGTCTATGAGTTCACAACTGAATTCCCTGCCCTAGACCAATATCTGGTACATTGTCAGGATGAATAACATTTCTGCTGAGTGAATGAATAAATAGCAAGAAAGATGCAATGCAGAACATAATTTAGAAGGCATGTAGATTTCTGCTTTTCTGAATTTTAAGATGCCTCTTTCATTCATTCAACAAATATTTAAGAAATACCTACTGAGAGGCCGGGCGCTGTGGCTCACGCCTGTAATCCTAGCTCTTGGAAGGCCGAGGCGGGCGACTTGCTCAAGGTCAGGAGTTCAAAACCAGCCTGAGCAAGAGCGAGACCCCGTCTCTACTATAAACAGAAAGAAATTAATTGGCCAACTGATATATATATATAAAAAATTAGCCGGGCATAGTGGCGCATGCCTGTAGTCCCAGCTACTCGGGAGGCTGAGACAGCAGGATTGCTTGAGCCCAGGAGTTTGAGGTTGCTGTGAGCTAGGCTGACGCCACGGCACTCACTCTAGCCTGGACAACAAAGTGAGACTCTGTCTCAAAAAAAAAAAAAAAAGAAATACCTACTGAGCACCAGGCCCTCTGTATTAGACAGCAAGCAAGGCAGACAGGGTTACCGCTCTCATGATGCAGTCCAGTGAGGGAGAAAGACACCAGCCATCGAATCGCAAACACATCACCAGCTGTGCTGTGAAGGAAGGGCCCTATAACACCCACAAAACACGGCATCTGACAGCACAGGAGAGGCAGGGGCTGGCCTTACCTGGGACATCAAGGAAGGGTTCTTAACCACTACGGTACAGCGCTCACCGGCTGTGAAACCTTGCCCACAGCCGGCACTCATAGTCTGCAGGATAGTTTGTGCTGTGCATTGACAATGAATCCGTTTTGCTCTTGTGTGATGAGGAAAGCTTTAAAGCACTGAAAGCTTGTTTTACTTTACAGGCAGCTTTACTTGTAATGTAAATCAGAATAGGTAACATATACATATATGTTTTCATTACGTTACTTTTAAATGTTCATAATTTTGATAAATGAAAAATTAGAAAAGTCATATCACAGCTGTCGGCTAAAGTCGAAGCTCGGCTGTTCGCCTTCAAATCACGGCTGGCATCTAAAGTCACTGTGCATTCATCTGTGGCTATTGACCATGGTCGATGCCGGTACCGAAGTGGTTAAAGAGAGGCCTGTGGGCTGACAGTAGGAAATTCCCAGGCGGAGCAAAAACCCTGTGCAAAGGCTGGAGAGAACATGCAGTGGAAGGGACCCCAAACCCAAAACAGTCAATGTGGCCAGCCACAGGCAACCAAGGGGGGCCAGTGAAAGGCACTGAGGCAGGAAAGGTAGGCAGGGTGCAGCTCTGGCCTGCAGGCTCTGGGAACTAATGTGTTTGACCTTTATCAAAGGAGCAGGGGAAAGCCATTAGCTTAAAGGTTTTGTACACCATTCTGCTTCAGTTCTCTGGGCGCTGAAAGAAAACAGCAATGTCAACCATGTGAAGTAACTCAGAAATGGCTCTCAATTTAATCAAGAGATTTAGTACTTTTACACAAACTGGAAGGAACACAGAAACTCACAGATCATATTTCTACACTACAGTTTAATGGGGGTGAGGAGTAAGGCTTCCCAAGGCAAAACAGGCAAAGCTCCAGGAGCCAGTTGGCCTGGAAGCAAGGTGGGCTTTAAGGAGCAATAGGGAAGCACAGTCCTTAGCTGCATCTCAAAGAAAACACATCAACTGCTCCAGGCAGGGTAGGTGCAAGAAGCTTCTAGAAGAATGTGGGTCTAGTGTGGCATGGAGGGTTTTTTTTTTAAGCAGAGAGGGTAACGTGGTGGACAAAGTTCAAGAGGTTGAGGGCCCCTCACCAAGGGCTCTGCACGCACAGGTCAAGCAGCGCAGTGCTCAGTTTAGCAATGTGCCTCCCTGAGGACTTGGGACTGGGGCTACAGGTCACAGCCCTCTGGAAAGAACAGTGGCGGTGGGAAGGAGGTTGCAAGTGACTGGATGAAAGCTGAGGAACAGCCTCACCTACTTCTCCCTGACTCTGCAGCGAACCCCTCGCGTGGGGCCAGGGCAGCAGCGGCAGCTCAGTGCCCCGACCAGTCGCTGTCGCTTGTCCTGGCGCCCTGGGGTTCCACACTACGCTATGGACGTCCCTTTATTTCCCGCCTTCTAGGTGAAAGTTGCTCGGCAGAACCAAGGAACTCAACCAACTAACACAAAGAAGGCTCACCCTGCCTCTGCGGCTGCTGTCCCCATGGGCAGGCGCAGACCGGCTGGTGACCCCCTACATCCCTCATGTTTGGGCCAGTGTCCTCACGGCTGGGTCGGACAGCAGCCGCGGTGAGGGGAGATGCCCTCGGCGAAGGCGCGCCGCTAACAGGCGGCCTGTGACGAAACGGAGCGAGCGCCTGGGGACCCCTGGTCCTCGGGTAAGATGGGTATTACCATGGCAATTCCTCTCTCAGCCGAGCAGGCGAAAGCGACATGGGCTCCAGGTCCTGAAGTACAGGAGGACGGAGTTCTGCGCACCCCTGGGGGGCAGTATCCCCGCACCCCTTCCTGCCGCGCCCCCGGCCCGCTCCTCGGCCGTCGCCGGCGAACCGCCGCCCGCCCGGAGCCAGCCGGCGTCCGCACAGCCGCGCGGCACGGCGGAGGCGCTGAGGAGACAGCGGCCGGCTCAGGGCGCCGCGGGACACCGAGCCCCTGCGCGCGCGCCCCCGCTCGCCCACGCCGGGCACCCGCACGGCGCTCCGAGACCGCGGGGGCGGGGCAGAGCCGCGCGCGCGCAAACGCTGCGAACGCACTCCGGGGGCGGGGCCGCGCGCTGTTTACCCGTTGCCGGGGCACGGGGGCCAAGCGCCGCCTCCCAGCCGGCGCCCTTGCCCGCCTGCTCTGCCGCGTCCGCGCGGTCCGGCCTGCCAGTTGCGCTGCGCGAGCTGGGCGGTCACCTCCAGCGACTGCGATGACGGCCGCGAGCGCGCGGACCCCGGTTCGGAGTTGGGGCGTCCGGACCGGGCGGCACTCGGAGGGGTGAGGCGCTGGCCTTCTAGCCAGCCGGCTGGGCCGAGAGTGCAGGCTCGGCCATGCACTCGGCTAACCGTGGAAAAGTCATCGGAGACTCAGTAGCCTCTTTTGGAAGACGGGAATAAGGACTTTGAGGGTGAAGTGAGAGTAACATGGGGAAATGTTTGCAAAAGAGCCGTGTACAGGCCCCATGAGAGTAACGAGGAGGAGGAGTGGGGGATCCCATACCCTTGGTGGGATCAGGCGAGAAAGGATACATGTAGTAGATAGTTCCGCTTCCAGCCTTGTGAGTTCATCCCTCCCGAAGGGGAAGACTACAGTTTGGGGGCGCGACCCTCATTTCCTTTTTTTCAGCAGTTACTGAGCGTCTGCTGTGTGCTTTACACTTTTCTAGACCCTGGGAATTTGGCCCAGAATGAGGGCACAGTCCTTGTTCTTAAGGGTTTTTTGGAGGGAGTGGGCAGAGAGGGAAATGGAGGGCCTGGAGACATTAAAAGTGGTAGGAGTAATACAGTGTATAGCATTGGGTGTATTAAACTGATGTGACGACTGGGTGCCCTTTTAGATTGGTGATGGGGGATGGATGGCCTCTCTGAGGAGGTGACTTTGCATCTGAGATCTGGGTGACAGGGCGGTCAACTATGCCAAAATCAGGGACTGGAGGAGGGGACTAGACAAGGAAGCAGAGGTGAGGTCCTAAAAGGCTCTGCAAATGAAGATAAGATGTTCGGTTTGCTTTCTCTTGAAAGATGAACTGGCTTCCAAAGGGGAGTATTTATATTGTAGGTCTCACAATCCTTCATTGACAAAGCAAACCTAAGTTCCAATATCTTTTCATGAGTCCAAATGGCCTTGATGTGGTCAATTCTTCTGCCCTCTATGGGCTTTCTCTTCTTAATCCCTGGACAGGGGCAGCTCACCCTCCCTGCTTACTATCCTCTGGGTCATCTCAGCTCTCCTGGGTTAACAATTGGGATCACTCCTAAATGCTTCTCCCAAGTTCTTGATCAGAGGTCCAGAGCCCTGCTGCAAGTTTTAAAATTCAGCTGTCTTAAAAGTAAACTGGGGCCGGGCGCTGTGGCTCACGCCTGTAATCCTAGCTCTTGGGAGGCCGAGGCGGGCGGATTGCTCAAGGTCAGGAGTTCAAAACCAGCCTGAGCAAGACCCCGTCTCTACTATAAAGAGAAAGAAATTAATTGGCCAACTAATATATTATATATATATATTAGTTATAAATTATAAATTAGCTGGGCATGGTGGCACATGCCTGTAGTCCCAGCTACTCGGGAGGCTGAGGCAGAAGGATTGCTTGAGCCCAGGAGTTTGAGGTTGCTGTGAGCTAGGCTGACGCCATGGCACTCACTCTAGCCTGGACAACAAAGTGAGACTCTGTCTCAAAAAAAAAAAAAAAAAGTAAACTGGTGGTTGGGGAGTGCCGGGGGGACTGACTCTGCAAAGAGCTAAGGGTAAAATTTAGGAGTGATGGAAATACCCTCTGTCCTGATCGCCATGGTAGTTACACAGGTAATTTGCATGGCTCAGTGCAAAATGAAAATAGGGAGAAGCAAGAAAAAAAAATGCCACTAAAGGTGCTAAGTTGTAAAACTTTCCTTTTTTTCTCTGGTCTCTATCAACCTGTCATGCTGTTTTTATTTACTGTTTCATGTTGTGTTTCCTTGAGTACAGGAACACTCTCCTTCATGGGTATCTTCCCACAGCACATGGGTGACACTCAAGGGGTTGATTGCAACTTCTGCGCCTGAATGGGCTTGGTGCCATGATCACAGTGGGCAAGATGCTCATGTGTCTCACTCCAAATATGCTGTGGTGTCGCTATACCCTGCCCTGAAGTGGGGGTAGGTGTGGGTGAGAGTGGGGATTGGGGGCAGTGGGGGATGACAGGAGATGGGACACAGAGGAACTAAGGCTCCAAGCCCCTCCCCAACATGTTGCATTACTCCATACTTCATTTACAAAACACAAATTCAAAGGTAAAATAACTAAGAAATCTCCCACCATGAACTCAGAGCTTTAAACCCCATGCACAAGGCCCTTCTGAGAGCAGGAGCCGGTGTCATGACTGGGGTCACACACCCATGAGGGTGGCACTGCACAGGTGTGTACATTTGTCAGAATTCATTGAACTACACACTTCGAATGAGTACAATTTATTATGTGTAAGTTATATCTCAATAAAGGTGATTTTAAAATTTCAGCTTTTAAGAACCTCAGCCTACCTACCATCTCTAAAAACATTTCTCATGGCAAATGAAAATGGCCTCAGCTGCCTGGGCACCCAGGCTGCAAACTGGTCATCTTTGATCCTTCCCTCTCTCCTTACCCCTAGAGCTCACTGCCACCTGCACCTACCCAGGCTACATCCTGACTTTCTTAAATCTGTGGATCTTTTTAAAAAAATTTTTTTTTCTTTTTTTTGTTACAAGAACATAAGATGAAGATCTGTGGATCTTGCCACCTGCTCCTTACTACCCATCCTCAAACCCCTCAGTGTGCCTTCCACACTCCTTGCCTCTCTGGGGGCCTGTCCTGCCCCTTCCCCTCTCCCCTGTCCCCAGATCACCACCCTGTTCAAGCCTGTACTATTTCTCTCCTGGGCTGCTGCAGAGGTCTCCTGACCAGCCCTGCTGTCTCTTGGCTTCTGAATACCATCCTGGTACTCTTTCTAAAGCACAGATTTAGTCATGTCTCACTCATTTTCAAAAACTGTCAATGACTGTTAGCTACAAAGTTGGGAACTCTTTAGTCATTCAAAATCTTCCCTCAATCTGCTTATCCAGCTTTCCATACTCTCACAGGCCCTGTGTGCCTTATTTTTGCACATTCCTCTCTAGGATATGCTATGTTCTCAGACCTCCCAGCCTCTGCTTATGGGGTCCCCTGCAGTTAGAATGCCTTCTCCTCTTTGCCCACCAGAAGCCTGTTCAACCTTCGAGGTCCAGCACAAGCTGTGCCATCTCTCTCAGCTCATTAGTCACTAGCAAAGCTTTGTGCTCATTGAACTCAGCCTGGGCTTCTGACATTGCACTTATCTGGACAATAGTTAGGCAGGTTTACTTGTCTCCTCCACACTAAGCAGCCTCTTTTAGGCTCCTTGTTTTTTTTTTGAGACAGAGTCTCACTTTGTTGTCCAGGCTAGAGTGAGTGCCGTGGCGTCAGCCTAGCTCACAGCAACCTCAAACTCCTTGGCTCAAGCGATCCTACTGCCTCAGCCTCCCAAGTAGCTGAGACTACAGGCAAGTGCCACCATGCCCGGCTAATTTTTTTTAATATATATATATATCAGTTGGCCAATTAATTTCTTTCTATTTATAGTAGAGACGGGGTCTCGCTCTTGCTCAGGCTGGTTTTGAACTCCTGACATCGAGCAATCCGCCCGCCTCGGCCTCCCAGAGAGCTAGGATTACAGGCGTGAGCCACCGCACCCGGCCTAGGCTCCTTGTTTTATGCCACAGCAGTATAATAGAATAATAATAGTTAATGGAGGCCGTGTGAGTTGGCTCAGGGCTGTAATCCTGGCACTCTGGGAGGCAGAGGCAGGAGGATCACTCACTTGAGCTCAGGAGTTAGAGATCAGCCTGAGCAAGAGCAAAACCCCATTTCCACTAAAAATAGAAAAAATTAGCTGGGTATGGTGGCACGCGCCTGTATTCCCAGCTATTTGGGAGGCTGAGGCAGGAGGATCACTTGAACCCAGGAGTTTGAGGTTGCTGTGAGCTAGGCTGATGCCACAGCACTCTAGCCCAGGCAACAGAGCGAGACTGTGTCTCAAAAAAAAAAAAAAAAAAAGTTAATGGAATAATTTTCATGGTTTTATGGGAAATATTATCCCCTTCATTCTGCCAAGCCCAGAAACTTCCTTGTTCTCACTGACCTCTTAGGCTGTTAATGCTGCTACCCTCCTTCCCTTTTTAGGTCCCCCCTACTTGTTTCAAAGACGTGCATGATGCGCCTTGCACATCCCGACCTTAGCCCCCATGTGCCCATATGCCTCCTGCTGCACAACAAGTCAGGGCTGATCTCAAAGTCCAGTCCTCAGCCCTGTGCCCCCTCAGTGTCCCTTCACGTGATGGCTTATCTAGTAACGTCAGTGACTACTGGTCTTGGGACAACACAGTCTCTGTGGTGAAGAATGGCCTCCCCCTGAGCTCCAGTCCTCATCATTCCCTGCACTTAGGGCATCTCCGCTGTAGTGGAGGCTCCACTGCTCCCAAGCTCTCGCTCTTCATCTTCTCTAACTCACCTATGTCTCTTTCAAATGATGAGTCCATCACTCAGGTCTGGGTATTTGGAAATTCTCTTGTATCAATCCCTTTCTTGACACCCACATCATTTTATTTGTTTATTTTTCTACCTCATTTACTGGAATAGACTTTTATATCAATATATTTTTTTAGAATTTTTTATTTTTATTTTTTGTAGAGACAGGGATCTCGATGTTGCACAGGCTGGTCTTGGGCAACTTCTGGCCTCAAGTAATCCTCCTACCTTGGCCTCCCAAAGTGCTGGGATTACAGGAGTGAAATGATTACATCACTTTAGACCAGACTTTCCTGCGTCAGTACTGCAAACAGTAGCTAACACTGAAGAAGTGCTGATGGCAGGCAGCTTGCTGAGCACTTTGCTCACATCATGGTGTTAAGTCTTCACTACAACCAGTGTGGTTGGTTCTATTATGTTCTCCAGTTTGCACATGAGGCCAGAGTAACTTGTCCAGGTTCACACAGAGTCAAAGCCCACTCTATCTGTTCAGCCTATGCTATTAACCACTAAAATTACTCAGGAAGGTGCCCTGGACTTGAGGCCAGGAGGCGTGAGTTCAATTCTTGGCTTCACTATTTAGTTGTGCAATTTGGGGCTATTCTCTGAGCTTACTTTCCCTCCTGGGATTGCTGTGAAGGTGATATGACAGAATAAATATGAAAGTGCTTTGTGAATTAAAGTGTTTGCAGGAAGCTGTGCTTTCTAAAGCACAAGAAAGCATGTTTTGCCAGTGGACAGGCAGAACACAGAAAGAATGGTCTAATGATGATCAGAAGAACTTCAATGGCAGAACTGTTTTTCATTGGCCAAGAGAATCTTCAGCCTTTACACTGGAGAAAGCCTTAGCATTGACCTGTAAGGAGTCGAGGAGGGCTGCTGAAGTGAGTGACTAGAAGGCAGACTGTTATAACACACAGTGCAGGCTACTGCTAGAAGCAGAAGATATCATCATTGACCATATTTGCATTTTTCCTAAATGCCAATTCACTTAAGAATAACTTAATGTTTAGGACTTCAAGAGAGAAGGTTATTCCACAAGAACAGAACAAATCTTCCAATGTAAACTGAAGGATGTTCAATTTAGATAACTATTCAACCTCACATCAGAATAGCACTAATTTTATTTATGAATACATACCCTTATGTCTTCTTTATAAATAGTAATGCTGTGCTGTTCTTTTTAAAAATTACCAGAATTGAAGCATGCATTCTTAGACTATCCAAACTTAGAATATTTTATCACTGTGTTTCTTAGAAGTTACACTTTATTTCCTCCTTTCGGCCCTAGTAGTATCTTCCTTCCTTCCTCCCTCCCTCCCTCCCTTCCTTCTTTCCTTTCTTCCTTCCCTCCTCTTTCTTGTTTTATTTCATGAAATGCAACACTATACCATTGCATTCACTTCACACATAACCCCTCACCCATTATGGCCCTAACATTAACGAAGAAATTACAGAAAAAATGAAATGTTCTTTGTAGGTAATTTCCTCTGGTCAGCTGCCAGGGTCCCAGCAGTGAGAACTGGGCAGTGCGGTCAGACTAGCTGGGGCAGGCGAGGAGAGAATTATCTAGAGCAGGGCTCAGCAAACTCTGTAAAGGGCCAGATAAGTAAATATTTTAGGCTTTGTGGGCCTTGCATAGGCTTTGTGGGCCCTTTTTACAACTACTAAACTCTGCTGATGTAGCACAGAAGCAGTTTACAGCTATGTACTACATAACATTTTGGTCAACGATGGACTATATGTATGATAGTGGTCCCATAAGAAATTCCTATCACCCAGTGATGTCTTCATGATCCTGACCCTGTGTAAGCCTGGGTTAATGTGTGTGTGTGTGTCTTAGATTTAACAAAAAAGTTTAAAAAGTAAAAAGAAAATGAATTTTATTTATTATTTATTTAAAGAGATGGGTCTCAATAAAAATACTTTTAAAAATTAAGTGGGTGTGGTGGCACATGCCTGTAGTCCCAGCTACTGGGAGGATCATTTGAGTTCTGGCTTTCAAGGTTGCAGTGAACTATGATTATACTATTGACCTCCCTCCTGGGGGACAGAGCAAGACCCTGTCTCTAAAAAAATAAAAATAAAAAATCCTATATAGCCTAAGTGTATAGTGTGTATAAAGGCTACAGTAATGTACAGTAATGTCCTAGGCCTTCACATTCACCTTCCACTCACCTAGAGCATCTTCTAGTCTTGTAAGCTGCATTCATGGTAAGTTCCCTATACAGGTGTACCACTTTTAATCTTTTTTTTTTTTTTTTTGAGACAGAGTCTCGCTTGTTGCCCAGGCTAGAGTGAGTGCCGTGGCATCAGCCTAGCTCACAGCAACCTCAAACTCCTGGGCTCAAGCAATCCTTCTGCCTCAGCCTCCTGAGTAGCTGGGACTACAGGCATGCGCCACCATGCCCGGCTAATTTTTTATATATATATATTAATTGGCCAATTAATTTGTTTCTATTTATAGTAGAGACGGGGTCTCGCTCTTGCTCAGGCTGGTTTCGAACTCCTGACCTCGAGCAATCCGCCCGCCTCGGCCTCCCAAGAGCTAGGATTACAGGCTTGAGCCACCGCGCCCGGCCTGATCTTTTATACCATATTTTTACTGGACCCTTTCTAGGTTTAGATATGTTTAGATATACAAATACTTACCTTTGTGTTACAACTGCCTATAATATTCAGTACAGCAATGTGCTGTATAGGTTTGTAGCCCAGGAACAATAGGACATACCATACAGCCTAGCTAGGTTTGTGTAAGTACACTTTATGGTGTTTTCATGACAAAACCACCTAAAGACACATTTCTCATAAAGTATGCCCATCATTATGTGCTGCATAACTGTACAGACAACATGTAAACAAATAAGCATGGGCCAGGTGCCGTAACTCATGCTTGTAATCCCAGTACTTTGGGAGGCTGAGGCAGGAGGATCACTTGAGGCCAGGAGTTTGAAACCAGCCTGGACAATATAACAAGATCCCGTCTCTATAAAAAATAAGAAAAATTAGCCAGAAGTGATGGCATGTGCCAGTAGTCCCAGCTACTTGGGAGGAGGCTGAGATAGGAGAATCACTGGAACCCAGGAGTTTGAGGTTACAGTGAGCTATGATTGCACCACTGAACTCTAGCCTGGGCAACATAACAGAGCAAGACCCTATCTCTTAAAAAAAAAAAGAAAGAGCATGGCTATATTCTGGTAAAACTGTTACAGAAAATGAAATTTGGATTTCACAGAATTTTCATGTGTCAGAAAATATTTTTCCTCTTTGGATTCCTTTTCCAACCATTTAAAAAATATAAAAGACATGCTTAGCTCATGGGCTGTATAAAAACTAACGGTAAGCTAATTGGCCCATGGGCTGTAATTTGCAAATCTCTGATCTAGAGAATTAAAATGCTATTTATTATTCTTGCTGGGGGATTCTTTGAGAGGGAGCAGACTGAGGTGGGAAATAGTGGTCAGAAATTATTGAGCACTCATATTTAGCAAGCATTATCTAAGCACTATATACATATTCATCATATATAGTCATTTAATCCTCACAACCATAGAAAGTAAGTGGTAATATTGTTCCCATTTTACAGATTGGGAATCTGAGGCACAGAGAGGTTAAATAATTTGTCTCATATCACACAGCTACTAGAGGCAGAGTGTGATATGATTTGATAGCTCACCAAGTCCGGTCTAACACCCTCTATCTGAGCCTTTGTGCTGTACTATCTTTCTGGGTAAAATAATATCTTCTGGCAAAGATATATTTTCACAGGCATCAGTGGGGAGAATCTTTGTCCTGCCAGCTCCATTCAGCATTTGAACAAAAAGTTACAGAATGTTCAAAGTAACGTTTCTATTTGGAGGCAAGGAGACAGATGGCATTGTCTTATTTAGTAAAGAAGTTACTGTCACCGAAGGTGCTTGAGCAGAGGTGGGGTGACTTTTGTACTCTGGCAGTTCCTTAGAAAGACTTTAGTTATTTTCTTTTCTATAAAATAAAAGTAAAAATTTTAAATCTTTGCTTTTTGAAATTTAATCTGGCTAATTACTAATGGAGCAAACAGCCTGAACACTTCCCCATAGCACAGGCAGGCACAAGCACAGTGAATTTACAAGATTTGGGAGTCTGAACACCCAGAACTGCCAGGAGGAAATTATTTAATATATTCCAGCCTGCTCTGACCTGTTGCTATGGGAACTGAGTGACTCCCCCTTTACACATCGCCACCATAGTACACACCCCCCCCATTCTTCCCATCTTTACCTTCTGAGCTGAAAAATATTTGCTGGCAATGTTGGGGAAGAATTATTTGATTTAATTATTATCAAATGTAATCATGTTTTATATTATTAAATGATGATAATCATAAGAGAATATTACCGTGGAAAGATCTTCAAGATGAATGATAAAAGCAAGTATAAAACAGAGTGTACTAAGTTCCAATTGTGTAAAAAAATGTTGGTAGGGATGAGTTGGGTATTATGGGCATTTTCTGAAAGGATAAAAAAAGAATATTGATAGTGATTACTTGTGGGGAACAAGATACGGATCTGGGTGGGAGGAGATTACATTTTTTATTGTGTACTCTGGTATGTTCTGAATTTTTACATGTATATTCTTAATAAAAATACCAATAAATACATAAATGTATTCTTCAATTTGACACCTGCTTCCTCATGTTATATCCC